AGAATATCAGTGTATTCGATTCGAATATTAATCAAATATATTCGATTAATAATAGTGATAATATTTATAATAATAATATTAAGAATAATAGTAATAACACTATAATAACTTTTAAAAGATAGCAATACCCTAAAGTGTAGTTCATATATACATTTACCCATACAAATTCTAAGTCCATTTGTAATAAATCAGAGTATAAATACGAATACAAATCGGAGTTTTGGTTCAAATGTCTTTCAAATACAATACAAGTAATTATGTATTCGATTCACAGAATAAAATTAGAGTCGTCTGACTTTGATATATACAATTATCAACTTATTTCACACATTATAAGTGTAATTTCTAATTTGTACTCCCTCCGTCCCATTAGAAGGTTCTCATTTCCATTTTAGGAAACAATTAACAATCTTAAGTTATAAATTAGTCATTAAATATTACAAATAATACATTTATAACATAACCGTTATCAATACTAAGACATTATAATATATACCTATTAAAATTATTTCTCGAAATATACCCGAAGTACTTTATTTAATTATCACCTAAATAATCGTGCTGTTTTGCTATGGGAACCTTCCAGCGGGACAGAGGTAGTATATGTTAGTGTTTATTTCAAAAAGTTTGAAATAGATTTATATTTATTAATCAAAAAATTGATTCACTTTAGTATATCGTGCACAATCTAAAAATGCATTAATCCATTGAATTTAAATTCTAAAAACACATATTAAATCATAGCGTACATTTACAACATAAAAAAATATAAGAAAATTTAATTTTAAGTGATATTTGACTAATATTTAACCTATGCTCAAATCTATTCGATTTTCGTATAAGATTCGTTAACTATTCCTATTGTTAAATAAATACAAATACAAATCGAAATTAATATTTGTTTCATATTTGAATTCGAATTCGTATTCGAAAAAATTAAACAAATATAAATACAAAATCCTACTATTCGACTCGATTCGGTTCGTATACAACCCTACCCAGACCTAACCTCCTTGAAAATATATAACCAGATCCGAGCAACATTTTTACTATTTGTTCACGCACCCCCTAGTTTCTAATCTAGAAAATCAACCGGTAGATGAATTAAGTGCTCAACTTCAAATTGTTTAAGAACATACTCCACTCTATTACTCCATTTTTCTCGGCTTATAGGGGTATAGACGGGGATGATCTAGGATTTCGAGTCAAGGGGGCGAAGTTTTTTCGCTAATGCAACGGTTTTTTTTTCCCGCTAGTGTAGCGGGACGAAGTTTTTCACTATTGTAGAGCTCTGTGGCTAATTTTTATTAAAAAAAATCATTACTACATACACAATAACATTTAAATTAAATCCATTACATTCTAAGTGTAGACATTGGAAAAATAACTGTAATTTTGTAACCATAAATGATGTAGAAAAAAGTATTGATACATCAATTCATAAGAAATTGCAAACAAAAGGAAATTAATTTGAAAATAAAAAAGGATATATAACATTTTGTCGGATTATTTGAAGGGAAAAAAAATAAAAGTACACATCAATATAATCAATGCCTTTTAAATAACTTATGCCTTGTTTAACCACATGAATCTTATCAGAATAAAGATTTGTTTTTGAATCGTAGTTTTTGTCTAACAAGGAGGGTGTTCATGGTCACGAGGAGTTTTCTTAATATTACAATAGTATGTATGAGATTATTATTTTTAGAATAATATTATACGTAGTATTGTTAATTCATATATATCGTGCATATTATGTTTGTATTAATGCTAAAATACGTCAAAGTTTATTATTTATGCAATAAATTGCTTTTAGAAAGTAAGAAAAAAATGAATTGTATAATTTAATGTCAACAAACATTAATATTTTGGATTCACTTCATATGATCTAAGACTAGTTAATTAGTATGTCTGGTATTTAATAACATTTGTTTTTTTTTACAAAATTTAGTACTAATTATCTAATAAAGATAATTAAATATTACAAAGTTAGAAGTTTTTATATAATAGGTATCCTACGTCTTAAAATATCTAAATTATTTTAGATTTTACTTCTTTTAAATCTCCAATTAAGTACTATGTATTACACTATGTAAGGCTATATATTAACTTTGAAAACTAAAAGTTAAGGGGGGTGAAAACATATATATCTATATAGTAGAAATTTTTGAAAGTCCAAGGGGGCGGTCCCCCGATCCGTCCCTGGGTATAGAGGGTGGCACGCTTGAAGGCAATTACGAGGGTAGGTGGTATGTAATAATGTTTGACTTCCTGGTTTTTAAAAATACTTGCGATGTTTGACTTATTTGCCTCACAATACTTGCGAAATTTGATCATGCATTGCACTTAATTAGAGTTCATGAGGTCATGGCTGAAGTAGGCAGTGCGGTAGATAGGACGTGCAAATCGTGCAGCAAATTGGGCAAAAGCTTCTAATTCAGCGAATTGGGAATTCCATTTCGGTAGCAGGCTTATAAATACGGGATAGCTCAGCTGGTAGAGCAGAAGCTGGTAGAGCAGAGGACTGAAAATCCTCGTGTCACCAGTTGGATTGGCAAGCCCGGAGAGGAATAAAGAATTGAATAGCATTTATGTCGTCGCAAGAGTGCGAAAAATTGAGCGTTTCTTATCACAACCTTTTTTCGTAGCAAAAGTATTTACTGATTCAGGGCCTCCAAAAATATAAGGTCCATTTTTAAAAAAAAAATCTATATAGTTTGTATATATATAGGGTAATTATTTTTGAAAATAGTTGATTACTTTATTTGTCCGAATGATCAAACTATTCAGATTACCCAACCAAACGTAAAAAATCACTTTTACTTATCCTATTTTTATTCGTTCCTTTCCGATTTTAGATTTTTTTAACTAATTTTATTTGTTCAAGTTCGAAAAAATGATCATTTCTCAATCTCACATTTGTTTGTAGTTTTTTTTTTGCTTTTCTCAAGGTTGATTTTTGGTATTGTATTGATTTAATATAAGGCCTATTTTTTGTGACTCGCGCCGGGTCTGCTAATTTATTGAGCCACCCCGTCAAGGAAGTACAGTAGTACACCACCCCTTTTATTGTTGTACGGCTTTTTTTGTACTCGCAAATACACATGTTTTGTCTACAACTTTTGTCTGAAAAAAACATGTTTATAAACAAGTTTCATAGACTTTTTGAAAACAGATGATTGACATACAAAAAATAATTTCTTGAGCAAAAACAATCCGCCACTAAATATGAGGTTAGCAAAGTTAAGGGGGAAAGAGGTGATATTAATTTTTGAATGAGAGAGAATACCTGTCAATAAAGGTGCATCACCCATTTTTGTTGGATATATAGGAGAAAGAGTACCAAACTCTGTCTTTGATAAGTTGATTCGCTGGCACCTATCCAGCAAGGAACCTAGGCCCAACTCACTGACAAATTCCAGGCCCTTCTTACATCGCAGAGTACAATATGCAGTTATGCACTAATTGTAGAGGATGCATATGCAACCCTCTCTTATGGGCAGTCTCATATCCTGTCGCCTTGAGGAGCGGAGTCTCTGCAATTACCTCTTGGGATTGGCCATGAGAAGTACATTATAAGTATTTCAAAAATGCTAAAGATACCCCTAATTGGTATCCCAATTTATACCCCACCCTATTTTTGTGGCTCACAAAAGCACTTCATTTAAGTGGGGCAATTCATTTATTGAGGTGGGCTTTTGTGAGCCACAAAAATAGGTTGGGGTACAAATTGGGGTACTAATTGAGATACCTATAGTAGGGTTGTAAGTATTTTTACACATTCCAGTTTTGGGTTAGCATTCTCATTTTTTAATGTCATTGTCCGGTCAGTGTTGGGGGCCCTCAGATATAGAGTGTCATCTTTTTTCGTAGAAATGCATATGTGACCTATGCAAGTATTTTGGGTCAGAGACCTAATCACTGTATATTACTTCCTCCCTAACACTCATATATTCCTACAGTCCTTTTTAGCGGACATTCTATCTTCTCATTTCTAAATATTTTTATCATACCCTCAATAATTTTAAAAATAATACACTATTACAACTACTTTTTTGGATTTATCCTTCAATTCAACACATTATTTTATTATTTTCTTATCATACCTTCAATAATTTATATCTCCATTCATTATTCTTAATCTCACCCACTTTGAAAGTGGGAAGATATATGTGATACGGATGGAGTAACTTATGATTAAAGTTTAATTTGCATCTGCCCAATTAATTATTCTCCCCATACTAGAGATGATGAAGTGTTATCTTTGTTTTTTGCAAGGCAATAATTGTTCAAAAAAATTCTTTGTACCCCACTTTTGTACCCATTTTTGTACCCACCTTCCTGTTTTGCATGTGCACATAGGCGATTCGTTAAGTAGAAGACATCATTTTTCTTCCATTTACTTTTGTACACAGACAAATATACAAAAGTGTATACAATAGTGGGTACAAGAACTTATAATTGTTTGGTGGGCTAGTATGGTTTTGCAAACATAAGTGACATAATGTGCGTGACAACTGTTTGGAATGTCAAATACTCAAATGGTGTGATTTTATTTAAAAAATAATTTGCAAAAAATTGAGACAGGTGAACAAGCAAAGTGTAAAGATGAAATATGCAAAGGTCTAACTGAATTGAACAGAAAAATATCCTAAATAACAGTAAAACTTATGAGTGATGAGCACATTTAACATAGTAATACTACTTGTATATTTGAAAAAATGTGAATCATTGTAGAAATGTTTGGGAAAAATAATGTCAATTATTATTACCTCAATGGCTTAATCTCAACAAGCTTTTTTACTACGAGTACTATTACTAACTACGTAACTATATCTCGTTTAATTATCAACTCATTTATGCTTTTGTTATTTCTGTCATTGCTTTTCATTTTCTAGTACCAGATATTCGATTTTTTGTGAATAGAAATGGAAACGCGTATGAAATGGCAGGAAGCCAATAATTATCAGCCACCTAACAAAAAGGCAAAGTCTCTTTCACTCGGGAAAAATCACTAGCTCACCACAGGCCAAATGCTACTGACATAAATACAAAGCCCCGCAGTCAAAATATGCATAATCGCATACAAGCATAGTCCAAATAAAATAAACTAAAAATGGCTGCAGAAAATGTTGGAAATGGCATTAGGGTGTTGATGTTTCCATGGTTGGCTGTAGGGCATATCACCCCATTCCTGGAGCTGGCCAAGAAATTATCCCAGAGGGGCTTTTGCATCCACCTATGTTCCACCCCCATCAACCTTAGTTTCATCAAAAACAAGATCCCCCAGAAATACTCTTCTTCAATCCAGTTACTGGAACTTCACTTACCAGAATCACCAGAACTCCCTCCTCACTACCACACCACCAATGGCCTCCCACCCCATCTCAACTCCACCCTCCATAAAGCCCTCAAAATGGCCGAACCCACTTTCTCCGACATCATGGGAACCATGAAACCGGGCTTGCTGATCTATGATGTTCTGCAGCCCTGGGTAGCAACAGTAGCCAAGTCCCACAATGTCCCGGCCGTCCAGTTCATGACTTCATGTGCTGTGATGACTTCTTATGCCTTCCACGCATTCTACCGGCCGAACGAAGAGTACCCTTTTCCGGATATCTCTCTAAGCATCTATGACCAAGAGAGGTTTCAGAAGATTATGGCTGACATAAGAAGCAAAAACAGTGGTAATAGTAAGGAGAAAAACATGATTTTGTTGAGTAGCTCTAGAGCAATAGAGGGGAATAAGTATGTGGATTATATCAGCGAGTTAGCAGGTTCAAAGGTCTTGACAGTTGGTTCTTTAGTTCAGGAGTATGATCATGATGAAGGGCGTTTTAGACCGTTGATGGAATGGTTAGGAACAAAAGAAGAGAGATCGACGGTGTTTGTTTCCTTTGGGAGCGAGTATTTTCTGTCTGATCATGATATGCATCAAGTGGCCATTGGATTAGAGAAAAGTAAAGTGAACTTCATATGGGTTGTGAGGTTTCCTAAAAGTGAATCCACAGAAGATACTTCTCATCAGAATCTTCTTGAAACTTCATTGCCAAAGGGTTTTGTTGAGAGAATTGGGGATAGAGGAAGAGTGGTTGAAGGATGGGCCCCACAAGTAAGAATTTTATCCCATCCCAGTATTGGAGGTTTTGTGAGCCATTGTGGGTGGAACTCTACTATTGAGAGCATTCAATGTAGTGTTCCAATCATAGCCATGCCTATGCATCTTGACCAACCTTTGATTGCTAAATTGATTGTGAGTATTGGTGTTGGCATTGAGGTTGAGAGGGATGAATCTGGAATGTATCATGGTGAAGACATAGCTCGAGGTTGTGATGAAATTGTTTTGGGAAGAAATGCAGAAAAGATTCGGAGAAATGTGAAAGTCATGAGTGAAAATGTAAGAGTCAAAAGTTCGAAAGAAATGGATGAGGTTTCTACCGTCCTGGCACAACTCTGTTCTCCACATTAACACAAAGCATCTCTTTGAATAAAATTTGCATTTTCCCCTATTGCTCAATGCAAGTTTTTTTTTTTAATATCTAATTTTATTATACTATGTATTTAAGTTCAACTTTTGGTAACTAATACTTTATCCATCTCTTAAAAGATTGTTATCTTTAGCTTTTTGAATCTATTGTTAGAGTCCCACACCGGAAATGTTTGAATCAACGAAGTGTTATATTAAGACAAAAGCTACTCCCCTATCAGATTGACCTTTTATGATTGAACCTCGTCTCTTAACATGGTATCAGAGCCAAATCGATCCATGGTGTGGGACCCCTTCATGAAAAATGATGACACGATTCCAAAAAATGACAATGATGAACAGATGAAAAAAAATGAATAACGGCACGATCCAGACGAAGTGTCTGGTCGTGAGGATGAGTGTTAGAGTCTCACATCGGAAATGTTTGAATCAACGAAGTGCTATATTAAGACATGAGCTACTCCCCCTATCAGGTTGACCTTTTAGGATGGAACTCCGTCTCTTAAATTTTGACGAAAAATACATTATTAAACGAAATTATACATGTACGTAGTATATGAATTATCAGTTGTAGGTGTTGAACTTTTATTTTTCACTGAATGTCAACTTGTTTAAATTTTCATTTCAAACAAAGTGTATCATTCAAGGAAATTATATACTATATAACACTAGTTTTATTTTTAAATAATCCACGAATTTTATTTTTATGAAGGTGAAATGAAAATATCTACTTATGAAAGTAATAAAAATTATAACGTTCACAAAAAATACTACGTATACGGATTATTTACTCATTCACCATAGTTTACCACTAGTGATAAAAGTGTTAAAGATAACAAACCCAAGTGAAACAATGCCTAGTTGAGGCGTTTAGAAGGATCGAAATGCATGTCGTGCTTTCAAGCGCATCTAGTTGAGGCACCTAAATAATACGTAGTAGGTTGAAAGAGATAAGAGTTCATGTTCTAGATTATTCTGTGCTATGTCAGGATGGAATGGAATTAATTCCCCATCTGTTTATTTCATGTCCGTTGGTCGTGGAGTTGAGGAAAAGAAAGGGCGGATTAGTGCAAATGCTTTGAACTTGGAGATTTTGGAGTGGGTAAACTTATGTTGTCATCCAAAAACGAGAAGCAGATGTGTGGCTTTATCATGAATTACTGGAGTATATGGCAAGCTCAAAATAGGTGTGTGGTTAAGTCCCCTATAGATTTTTAATCATACTAAAAGCTTGGTTTGATGTATTTTGTAAAAATGGTTGCATTAAAACTTTCAAAAAGAAAAAAAGTACTCATACAAAAAGAAAACAAAATGAAGAGTACTAAAAAAGGAAACGGCCAAAGAAAAAGAAAGGTACGAGAAAAGAGTTGAATGATTGTTTGTTCACCAGCAGCCTGCTAGTGAACATTATAAGCAAGCTATCAAAGATCAAGACTAGCATGCTGTCAAAACTCAAAACCACACCTGCTAGTCAAACCAAAATTAACCACCAGAACTTTCTCTACAACTTTGCCTCTTGCAGCAGAGTCAAAATCACAATGGTTTAATTTTGAAGGGACCAACAATAATTCTGTAGAAGGTAAAATGTAAAAAAAAAAAAAAGGCCAGGGAAAATACAGCTATACATTATGAATGAGTATATGGCCTTTACATATTTTTTGGAAGACTTCAGAATTATTGAAAATAAAATAATTATCAAAATTATTTTTTATGGGACCCTCAAACAGTAGAAGTATTTATGAGCAACTGAATGGATTGTCTGAAAATCAAAAGCAAAATACGGTGAAGGATTATGTACTGTATATCCAACTCATACTCTTGAAATACATCACTACAATAAAGAGGTAGTATAAATACAAAAAGGTCACGGGCGCGTCGTATGAAGACAAAAATAGTTCATGCTCTCCAATAGTCAAACCAAGTAGATCAATCAACATTGAAGATTGAATCTCCTCAGCCAGCGGAATATATTCAACGGCAAATGGTCTATAAATATAGAAGAAGTGTGAAGCAGAAGAAGCAAGCGAGCTACAACAAATAATACAAGTTTATATCAAGATCTAGCAAAGAGAAAGTGCTAATAAATCACTTCGCTCTAAGCTCACTCGAGTGAGCTTAGAGCGAAGTGATTTATTAGCACTTTCTCTTTGCTAGATCTTGAACTAATCTAAGAGCTTAATAAGTGTGAGCTCACACTTATTACGCTCTTAGATTAGTTCATGCAAATTGTGAGGTTAAAATTACTTTGTAATCGACAAATTCTACATCTTTGAAAGGTATCTAAAGTGTGGGTAGAATAGGACTAAGTAACTTTTGAATCAGTTGGGTTCATTAGTGAAACACCTAAGGATAGAGTAACTTGGAGTGATGTTGTACTCCATGTGAAAACCTGTCAATCTAGGCCTGTGATCAAGTCTAGATTGGGCACTAAGTGTATTGGACTGAATAACTTAGTGGAAATCCATCTAAAAGATGGTGAGACTGGATGTAGGAGGATTACACCACCTCTGAACAAGAATAACTCACCATGTCATTTATTTTCCAAGTTCACCTGAACACACGCCCACTGTTCTCAAGTCTTGCAAAATTATTTTTCAACAAACTGCTTTGTCAAAGACATCTAAACTGCATTAATACAAACTTAGTTTGTATACCCAGTTAAGGTGAATACAAGTCTCTCAAAACTGTTCTCACCAAAGCAAGCTAATTCATACTGAGTTTCTTACACCCCTTTTGACCTTCAATTATATCTCTCTGAAGTTTACTCTTTCTAATAACATAAGAGTTCAAATTCTTTCCTTAGCAGTTATCTCAACTCTACATCAGCAGCAGCCTGTTGCTCACCTTACTGCTAAGTTTTCAACCAGTTAACTCTGTGTCTTTTGTCAAAACTGTTGTTACCTCCAGCTTTCTACAAATGCTGTAAGAACTCCTCCCACATCCCACTACACACAAAGATCCTTGAAAAAGCCCTTGGTTAACTTACTATAAATAGAAAGTCATTCTTTTTATAACTGGTAAGTGTGTTGATATGTTCGTAATTCAACACGCATTTGATGCATGAGGGGATTGTGTTTTGCGGCCACTTTTCCTAATCTAAATAAGTCATAAAGCGTTTAATTGGCTTAACTCACAGCATATTGAGTTCAGTGTATGTGCGTTTGTTGTTTTTAGAAGCGAAAGTCTGGATTTTGAACCTGGCATCGGCGTTAGAGATTAATTTGAGAAGATTTGGGACGCTTTCGAGAGATGAAACGAAGCATCAAAGGTCCACGGGACGATTAAGGAGCAATTTTTGAGTCAAAAGAAGTCAAAGAATGAAGATGGGATCGATCGGGATCAAACGGGGAACAAAGGAGCAAGAAAACGGTTTCAAAGAGGTCCGTGCGCCCCGCGCATATAAGCCGCACACCCGCGGACGATCAGGAAATATCAACCGCACGCCCCACGGCTCAGAACACAGTTGCAGGAGTGTCCCCACGATCGGACCATGCGGGTCTCCATAGCATCTCCGTCCTCACATCACGATTGGCCCCCCGACCTCGGCGTGATGATCTATCTCAACACCAGCTTCCCAGCAACAAGTGTATTAAGCTAGTGTCGTCGACTTTATATGAAAAATGACTTCATCATTGCCTCGTCATCATATTATGAACGGCCTCCTCAGCGTCGTCATGGATATGCCAATCCCAAGACCGGGTCCCTGACGCTGAAGTCTTATTATAGCGACAAGTCTCATCATCCTTTCCTGGATGGTGACTGTCGCCTCCATATACTGGACCGGCTCGCTAGCGCCGAGGTCCTCATATCACGACTGGCCTATCAACCACAACGTGATCCTATATCTCAACATCAGATTCCCTAATGCCAAGTGTCTTGAGTTAGCGATTGGGCTTGCCATCCCCTCATGGATGGTGACCGTCACCTTCATATGACGATCGGCCTCATCATCGCCTCGTCACCATTTTTTGGAATGGCTTCCGCAGCATCGCCATCCTCATATCACGATCGGCCTTTCGGCACAACGTGATTATCTTCCTCAAGATCGGTCTCAGTCATTCCTTAACCGGGTGGCGACCGTTGCATGGATTTTCGGGCTGGCCACTCAGTGCCGACGCCTTTACATCACGATCGGCCTTTCGACACGACGTGATTATCTTTCTCAAGACCGGTCTTAGCCATTCCTTTACCAAATGGCGACCGTTGCGTGGATTTTCGGACCGACTCATCAACGTTGTTGTCCTCATATTCAGACAGGCGTCCAACGACTCATCCTCATATTCGGACCGGCTCATCAACGCCGTTGTCCTCATATTCAGACAAACATCCAGCACCTCGTTCTCATACTCCGACCGGCTCATCAGCGTCGTTGTCCTCATATTCAGACAAGCGTCCAACGCCTCATCCTCATATTCAGACCGGCTCATCAGCGCCGTTGTCCTCATATTCAGACAGGCGCCCAACGCCTCGTCGTCATATTCGGATCGGCTCATCAGCGCCGTTGTCCTCATATTCAGACAGGCGTCCAGCGCCTCGTCCTCATATTCAGACTGGCTCATCAGCGTCGTTTTCCTCATGTTCAGACAGGCGTCCAACGCCTCGTCCTCATATTCAGACCGGCTCATCATCGACGCTATCCTCATATTCAGACAGGCATCCAATGCTTCGTCCTCTTATTCGGACCGGCTCATCAATGCCATTGTCCTCATATTCAGAGAGGCATCCAGCGCCTCGTCCTCTTATTCAGACCGTCCATCAGCGTCGTTGTCCTCATACTCAGACAGGCACCAACGCCTCGTCCTCATATTCAGACCGGCTCATCAGCGTCGTTGTCCTCATATTCAGACAGGCGCCCAATGCCTCGTTCTCATATTCGGACCGACTCATCAGCGTCGTTGTCCTCATATTCATACAGGCGTCCCATTCCTCGTCCCCATATTTAGATAGGCGTTCAATGCCTCGTCCCCATACTCAGACAGGCGTCCAAAACGCCTTGTTCTCATATCCATGTCTAGCGAACATCTTGCGGTTTCTGGCCGAAAGGTTAAAGGAGCCCAAAGCTCATCTATAGGCGCCTCAGCCATACCTCGCTCCATCATCTTTATTTGATGACGAGAAGCTCATCTATGTGCCCATTGGCCATATATGGCTCTGTCATTTTATTTGATGACGAGAAGCTCATCTATAGGCCCCTCGGCCATACCTCGCTCCGTCATCTTTATTTGATGACAAGA